TTCTTTTTGCGGATACAGACTAACACGGCTGTTACTCTGAAACCTGCTAGCAAAAATAAATTTTTCTTCTATCTTATTCTATCCTTAGGGGCTATAATATTCTACCAAGGGCAATGCAAAGTTTCTAAATGAGGCTTTGATACAAAGTCCCATGAAAACAGAGGTCACACGTGGGTAGACCCACCACAAGGTTATATGAAGAGGCACAATGTAAAGTCATATGAAAATTATCAGAGATTTATCTACATTGTTGTGGCGTTCTGCCTTATTCCCCCTAAAAAGATCCTGTGCAGTACTTTAAGTACAACATCAGAGGGGAGAACTGCGCCTGGGCACAGGCAGCCCCAGCGTGTGGGCCCCATGGGCTGGGGACCGGGGGCCAGGGCCGGCTCCAGCATTTCTGCCGCCCCAAGCAAAACAAAAACAAAAAAGCCGCGATCGGCGGCGGCAGTTCGGCGGCAGGTCTTTCGCTCCTAGAGGGAGTGAGGACCTGCCGCCCCCGAATTGCCGCAGGTGCCGCCCCTCTCCCTTGGCTGCCCCAAGCACCTGCTTGTTAAGCTGGTTCCTGGAGCCGGCCCTCCCAGGCAGGGTGGTGTAGGGTGCCCGAGGCGTTGCCCAGCCCCGCAGGCTGGGCCCTGAGGTCTCCTCTGCCCGACAGGAGATTGGCGACGTGGAGAACTGGGCGCGCAGCATCGAGCTGGACATGCGGACCATCGCCACCGCCCTGGAGTACGTCTACAAGGGGCAGCTGCAGCCCTCCGGCTCCTGAGGCCCCGCCCGGCTGGAGCCCCCGCACCCCCCTGGCTGCCGGGCTCAGGACCCCCCCCCCTCGCTGGCCCCAGCTGCACCTCGCCTGGCACCCGCCCAGTGGGAACGGCCCAGCGGTTTGCCCCCTCGGCTGGGTGGAGGGAGCAAGGAAGAAACGAGCCGTCCTGCATTGCCTGTGTCCCTGCCCGGGGGACGGGCACCGTCCTGCCAGCCAGCGGGGGTGTTGGGAACCCCGGCCGCAGGCACTTTGCTCTGGCCCTGGGGGCTGCTGGCCCGTCTGGTGCCCTGCCCCAGGGGGGAGCCGTTGGGTGTAGGCCCTGGTGCCACCTGAGCCTCTCACTGGCCTGCAGGTCGCAGAGGGCGTCTGGGTCGGGGAGGGGGGAGACGGGATCTGCCCCCCAGCGCAGTGCTGCAGGGGGCACTGTGGGGGGCAGGGCAGGAGCACTGGCTCGGGTGGGGGGGGGCTTTGCTGGGGAATGGAATAAAATGCATCAGTTAAACCGGAGCAGGATGTGTGTCAGAGCCTCTGTAAGGGGGAGCTGGGCGCTAAGGGGAACCCAGCCTCTCCCAGCAGGGGGTGCTGTTGGGGGGAGCTCAGCAGGGGTGCTGTGAGGGCGGGGCAGGAGCACTGGTTGGGGGGGCTCCCAGCAGGGGGTGCTGTGGGGGCGAGGGCAGGGTGCTGGTCGGGGGGGAGCTCAGCAGGGGGTGCTGCGAGGGGCGGAGCAGGAGCGCAGGCTGGGGGGGCTCCCAGCAGGGGGCGCTGTGGGGGGGGCAGGAGTGCAGGCTGTACCATGCCCCGTGGGGGAGGGGAGTTAATGTCGGATCAGGGCTCCCCCTCCCACCCCCAAATCCTCTTTCGCACTTAAATCCGCCTCTGAGTCCTGGACAAAGGAGCCGTGTGACCCGGGCGCTGGCTAATCCTGCCCCACCCCCATGCTCAGCACATGCTCCCCGCTCGGATGCCCCCCAAGCTGGGCCAGGCCTGGGGCCCGGGGGGGTCCCTGCTCCGTGCAGGGCAGTGGGGGGTCCCTTTCCCACCCCCTCCCTGCCCAGGCCAGCCCCATGGCCCCGGCCTGCCGAGCGTGTCCTGGCGTCTCTTTGATGTCACCATGCATGGGGGGGAGGGGTAGGGAGCCTGGTTCCCCCCCACTCCCCATATGCCATGAGGGAATTCACCCTGGGGCACCCATCCTACAGCTGGGGAAACTGAGGCACAGAGCAGTCGTGCACCGCAAGCAGGGTGACTTCACAGACCCCCCGACGTTGTGCGGCTCAGTGGGTCCAACATGGCAGGTTCCTGGCGTCTCCTGCCCCCGCCCCCTCCCCTGCCCTCACCCCTTCTGTCGTGCTCCCTTGGTTTGGCCCGGCTGCCCCGGTCCCCTCCGGAGCCCCCGTTACCCCTCGCTGCCAGGCTGTGGGGCGCGTGCCCCTGACCATCGCTGGGGGATTGGGGCTCCTGGGGGTGCGCTGGCTACGTGGGTGCAGGGCCCCATTGCTGCAGAGCCGGCCCTGCCCCCCTCCCTGGCACCGCCCGCTGTGCCCAGCTCCTCCTGGCGTGGTGCTGGCAGGGCTTAGCGCCGGGCTGGCAGGGCCCGCCCCATGGGGGGGGGCAATCGGCTCTTCCCTGGACTTTGGCTGGAGCAGAACTTGTGTGACTGAGCCCCGGCCCCAGAGCCGGTCTGAACAGCAGGAAGGTATGTGGGACGAAGGCAGCGCAGGGGGTATGGGCCGGGGGGTGGCAGCTGGATCAGGGCCCAGCTGCAGGGGTGATGCCAGGCGTGTCGGGGGTGAGGGGCGTAGGGGGCAGAGCTGGTGGCTGGTGCAGCAGGGGTCACGGACGGGGCAAGCGGCTCAGCCACTGACCCCCCCCATACCTGTGGGTCGCCCCAGCTGCCCAGGCGTGGCGAGGCTGCATGGGGCCGGGCTGGGGGGGCACTAGCAGGGCTGCTCTTGGAGACTCACCGCGTGTGGGCTGAAAGCCCAGATGGGGCGTCAGGACACCTGGGTTCCATTCCCAGCCCTGCGCTGGGTCCGTGAGTCAGCCCCTCCCCTGCTATGTGCCTCAGTTTACCCACCTGAAACACAAAGCGCCTGCCCCCCTTTGGCAGCTGCTGAGGAAGGGCATTTTGCTGCTGTCTGGGGCACCCTCGGGAGCTGTGCCGAGAGGCAGGCAGCTCCCCCCCCGCCCAGCCCAGCCCCAGAGCGTAGCCCTGCTGTGCCCGCCCGGAGCCGTGGTCCAGCCGTTCCTGCATCCCGCTGCCTGTGGCTGGTGCCAGGGCTGGCGTGGAGCCAGGGCACCCGTGTGGCCCCCTCAAGGCGCCCGCAGGCCGGGGGCACGACCCTGTCGACGGGTCTCAGGCCAGCTGGGCCCCTGGGCGAGGGCAGCCTGCCCCTCCGTTAACCCTTCCAACGCTGGCACCAGCACCTGCTGTGAGGGGGCAGGACTGGGCCTACCAGACAGACCCTGGGGTGGTCCCCAGGCTCCAGCCTCCAGCCCAGGCGCCATGCCCCCCCGGGGAAAACTGCAATGGGGGGGGCACAGACTCGGGTGCAGCCCCTGGAGGAGGCACGGACTGGCCCAGCCCCACCTGAGCCAGCCCCCGGGGGCCCTCGCGCCCAGCTCCCTCGAGGGTATGAAACCTCCTCCCCGGCCGGGCCTCTCGCTGTTCAGGGGATTCAGGAGCACGGGTCTAATCCCCCTTGGTAATGCCCCCCCCCCAGCCACGGGGCACTGGGCAGCCGGCCCAGCTCTGCCGTCGGGGCCAGGGAACGGACCCCACCTTCCCCCCTTCCTGCCAGCCACTGCCAGGAGCCCCTCAGTAGAACCCTGGTTCTTGGGGGGGGCGCTGGGTCCCCCCCCTGCGACTCAGCGTGCCCCTCCCCCCCGCAGTGCCTCCAGGTGCAGAGCCCACATGTCACCCTGTCCCCCCCCCGTGGCCCCTTCCAAGGCCCCAGCTCAAGGCAGGGTTGTTTGGGGGCTCGAGTGGGCGAACTGGATGGCTCCACTCACCCCGTCCAGGGGGGGAGCAGGCGACGCAGGGGGCCAGGCACCGACACCCCCCGGCCAGGGGGATTAGCAGGTAAGACAGGAAGCTCTCCCCCCCCCCCGAGCCCCAGGGGGCTTAGAGTGCCCGGGGGAGGGGACTGAGCTCTCCCCTCGTGACTGCAGGGGTCAGCGGCCGGCTTTGCTCTGCCCGGCTCCCTGCCCTGAGCCCGGGGGCATGTGGCACCAAGGGGGGGGCACCCCGCTCTGTGCCTCAGTTTCTCCATCTCTGTAACAGGGAAGAAGCCCCATCCCCAGTGCCCCCGGCCCCTCCCCACGGGAGCCTCTGACGCGCTGATCCCGGCTAATCCGCAGCACGCCCGGCCGAGGCCCATGGCCTACTTCGGGCAGGTTGTCGCGGAGACCGGCCGTGGGGGGTAAGGGGGAGCCGTGGCTGCGGGGGGCTCTTGCCCCCCCCGGGAGGGCGGCTGCACAGAGCGAGGGGGTGGGGGTCTCCCTGTGCCACGGAGTTGGCAAGTGGTAAGTGCCTGCCCAGGCCACGGCCACCCACCGACCCGGCACCTGCCCGAAGCCAGTGGGCTGGAGCCTGGGGACCAAACCCCCTGCTCAGGGCACCCTCCTCCCCCTGCCGCAAACACTGTGAATTACTCCGGGAGGGAAGCGGGTGGGAGGGGGTGGGGGACCCAGGACACCTGGGTTCCTTGCACGATCCCCTCCCCTCCGACTCTGAGGCTGGTGTGTTTGGCGCAGGTGCCAGCCATGTGGCTCTACGTGGGCCTGGTGGCCCTGGTGTGGGCGCTGGGCTGGTACCTGCGGGACCGCCAGACCCTGGCCAGTGTCCAGGACAAGCACGTCTTCATCACGGGCTGCGACTCGGGCTTCGGGCACATGCTGGCCAAGCGGCTGGACAGGAAGGGCTTCCGGGTGCTGGCCGGCTGCCTGACCCAGAAAGGAGCCGACAACCTGCAGCGCACCAGCTCGGCCGGCCTGCGGGCCACCCTGCTCGACGTGACCAGCAGCGAGAGCATCCGGCGGGCCGCGGCGTGGGTGCAGGCTGAGGTGGGGGAGAAAGGTGAGCGGGGGGGGGGAGCGTCCCTGCCTCTTCCAGCAGGGGGCACCGTGGGGAGCAGTGTGGAGGTGCTGGGGGGGGGGCACCCAGCCAGGGACACCGTGGGGGGCAGAGGATCTGGCTCGGGGGGGCTCTCAGGGCAGATCCCGGCTCCCTTCCAGGTCTCTTCGGGCTGGTGAACAACGCGGGGGTGGCGAACCCCATCGGCCCCACCGAGTGGATGCGGATCCAGGATTTCCGGCAGGTTCTGGCCGTCAACACCTTCGGCCTCATCGAGGTGACCCTGGCGCTCCTGCCGCTGCTGAAGCGGGCGCGGGGCCGCGTGGTCAACACGTCCAGCGTGCTGGGGCGGCTCTCGGCCAACGGGGGCGGCTACTGCGTCTCCAAGTACACGGTGGAGGCCTTCTCCGACAGCCTGCGGTGAGCCCCCTACATCCGGCCCCCTTCCCGGCCCCCTTCCCTGTCCCCTCTCCGACAGCCTGCGGTGAGCCCCCTACATCCGGCCCCCTTCCCGGCCCCCTTCCCTGTCCCCTCTCCGACAGCCTGCGGTGAGCCCCCTAC